AGCTATATGGTTTCTCTGTCCTTCTCAGGTCACTTTGAGGAAGGAGCGGCCTTAAAAAAACCACCCTGTAAGTGAGCTAAGCTGAGTCCTGCTCCTTCCTGCTCAGGCAGAGGGTAGCGATCTTGTAGGGGGTGTCTACAGAGGAGCTGCTGGTGGAATTTTCCATGTGCTCAGACATACTCTTGCTGATTGAGCGACCATGCTACAAATAGCAACATCACCGCGGCTGGGACCAGTTAGCTGCTTCAATAAAAACCCTGCCGGAGACCTGAGGTACAATGGGCACCTCACTTGTTATGCTTGCTGTGCAGCCATGATGATGCTACTATTTTTAGGGCTCTAGATCAATCCGGGCTAGCACCAGCTTTGTCTACCTGTGCTGGAAATTACCACTCCAGCTTTAGTGCTTTAGACTGAGAACCCTGAAGTCCCAAAGCCAATCTCAGCTGCAGAGAAGGGTAGGGAGACGCGCACAAAAATAAAATCTGTCCCAAGTAGAGAGAACGTGTCATCTGCTTTCCTGTCTTGTGTGGGTTATTCCTCCTAACAAGTAACCAGAAGAAGTTACAACTTGTCAGACAGGGCATCAGCTGCTAGATTCCGTAACGCAAGAAAAAGAGCAGTAAATAATATCGATCACGCCAATTACCGTAATGCCTAACTGCTTCCCAGGCAAATTCAACGTAGCAAGGTCCCTCCTAGCGGGCGTTCTCTTTTGTAGAGCACTCACCTCCCCTGGCTGGAGTAACAACTGATGTGTGCTAGCCCCTGGTTTCTCTTATATTCTCCATGCTGTCCCTCCCACTGCTCCCCCAGCCAGGTGGATCTTGTTCCCCAAGGTCCATCATTCAGGATGATCCGGATGAGTGGCCAGGTCTTTAATAGATGGTGTTTCCTGTTTCCCTCTTCTCTCTGGGTCTGATGGGCTCTACTATTGTCTTTAAGCCAGGATGAGTGATCATGCTGAAGACCCCGCCCCCCGGCGAGGCTCCAGTCCCGGTTGATTTCACACTGCTCCTTTCGGAATACGCCAGGGGGCTATGAACTCTCTGGCTGGCGGTCACACCCCTCTGGCAGCCTCTCTGCCTTCCGGTGCCAATTTGGCAAGAAACTAATTTGTTCCCGCTCAGAACAATGAAGACTAATTATGGCCCCCTTGAAGTTCCCAGGTGTTTTGCCATTGACGTCAACGTGGCCAAGATTTCACCCCACATCTTTAAGAGTGACTTGTAACGGGTTAGATCACAGAAATCCCCTTGGGCTTGTTCCCCGGTGTGCTGATTATGCCACTGCTGCCTGCCTTCCTGCCCTCTGGGGCTCCCCACCACCCTGTCCTGCTGGGCCAGAAGCTCTGGTCTCTCCTGGCTAAGGATCTGGAGCTGAACTGGTTCAGGGTTTGTGTTGTTCTTCGGGGGTGGGGTTGGGGGGGTGGTAAATTACTGCCCCCCCCCCCAGAACAACACAGATCCAGAACCAGTTCAGCTCTGGGAAGGCTTAGCACCCTAGAAACCAACCCCCAAAAGGACCAAAATCCCAAATAAATCTGCCTTACTCTGTGTAAAAGTTGTACACAAAGCTCATAAGATCCACCCCTTTTATCAATGGAAGAGATAACCATGTGGTTTCTGCCCTCCCCGGCCAGGTAACAAATAGTTACACGGGGTTTGATAATAAATAAAATATTTGTATTATGTATAAATAATAGGATTTAAGTGGTTACAAGTGGAAACAATCAGATCAAAGTGAGTTACTAAGCTAAAATAAATAAAAAACACCAGCTAGTCCTAATCCACTAAGAAACTTGTTACAGATAAATTCTTACCCACAGTTGTCCTACTCATCTCTTTCACAAGCTAAGCAGCCTCCTAGCTTGGTCCTGATCCTTCAGTCTTTGATGTTTCCAGCAGGCATCAGGTGGCAAGTGGGGGTTTTCTGGCATATAAATCCCTTATTGTTTTGCTTCTCCTCATATCTTCTCCTCCCCTCAAGGCAGGAATTCTTTATGCTCAGTTCAAACTTTCCTCACCTCGAGTGGAAAAGTACAAGATCCAAAATGGGTTTCAGCATCAGCCTCGCCACATGTCAGCGTAGGACCAACCACAGTTTAGGCTTTCAGGAAGAATAAAACCATTCACTGGTCATTGGATTGATTGTCACCGAGTCATTAAGTTTCCAGAGCATCAGTACTGGCCCTCATTAGCTCATTTTGAGTGATAAACAGAGCCACACTTCATATTGCTAAGTACAAATACAAGAAAGATACACGCACACAAATAGAATGTCTAGATCCAGCAGATTACAAACTGTAAAATGAAGCCTCACATGAGGTATGTTGCATATTCATAAGCCAATTTTCATAAAACATGGAGGAGCATGACAGCCCCCACTGAAGTTTCCCCGAGTCTTGTTTCCCCTCATGACTTTAAGAGTGAGGCTGAGCTGGATTATCTGAGGGCACAAACAATGAAGAGAGCCAGAATCATGGCTACCCAAGGCAAGTTTGACCCGCATGAGGACAGCCGGTTTATGTTTGACCACAGATGAATGGGGGAGGTGCTGCAACCATAGGCCAAGATGTGAAGGGCATTAACACAGCAAAAATAGCCCCCTCTGCAGTTATTCCAAATCAATTTGTACTAGGGATGTAAGCGACTAGTCGAGTCACTACTTGACTACTCACCCCCTCCCCCCACCTTGCTGCCTCTGTATCAGAGGCAGCAAGAGGGGGGAAGCAGGAGCTGGTGCTGAGGGGCGCCGGCTTAAAACCCGGTTCCCCCCAGCACCGTCTCTATGGTGTGTGTGGGGGGGGGAGAGGGCAAGGGAGGTAGAGTCCCGTAGCCGGCACGAGCCAGGACTGTTCAGTTCTTCCGGCTCATGCCACCCCTGGGAGATCACCCTGCTGTGGCTCTGTAGTTTAAATGTAGTAGGAGCCAGGCTGGCTGGTAGCGAGCACCCCCCCTCATTGACTTAATCAAGTAGTCGATGGAAATTCCATTGACTACTCGATTAGGCAAATAACTGCTACTTAACATCCCTAGTTTGTACAGCACCTAACACAGTACAGTCCTGGGACTAGGTGCTCAGAGTTATGTAGGTGCCTAACTCTCACTGGGTGTAGGGGGAGGGAGGTGTCTAAATCCATTTCAGGAGCGGAGCCTTGATCCATGACGAGGGCTCCTAGTTACAGGAATATAAACCTGCTCACACAAGATTTTGCACATTGATGTGGCACTATTGTTAACCGTTCCCAGCCCAACTTCTGAGAGAGTTTTCATCCTCCGTTCCCACGGCTATTACAACTGCTGAAGAAGGCGCTCTATTCAGGCGCACATACACCGAGCCCGCAGTCTGGGCTGGGGAATCCTATAGGAAGCCCAGTGGACTTCCTACAGGAAGTCCATGCAGACAACTGGTGGGCAGAGGAGTTGAGAATAGTTCAGGTCAATATATAGGGGCCAATATCTGTAAGCTACAGAACAAGCACCTGTCCCCGTGTCCTGAGTTGCCTCCGTCACACTACAGGTGAGCTGCGAGGGATCGGTGGCTCTTTGGTTCTGCATTCCACAGGTCGCTCAGCTCCAGCGGTTCTCAACAATGCTTGTAACTGAGGCTAAAGGTGGACTGTAGGGAACTATTCTACGCTTAATGCACTTTGGGACAATTCCCGGGGCCATCAAGTTCCCCTGCTAAAATCCCACTGATGTCAGCGAGGCCAGCAGCCGGGCTGAGGCTGGGCCAAACCATCTGGCTGAAGCTTCCCAGGGGAGAGGAGTTGAGCGTTATTTTGATCAGATCCAGATTTTTCTGCCTCAGGCACCGGGCAGATGTCGTTACCAACCGACAACCCAACACTGCCAAACCCGGACTCTTGCCGCATGTGTCCTGTGTGTGTGAGCAGCATTGTCCTGGGTGGCACATGAGCTCCATACACAGGTCCAAGCTCAGCCTTGACATCTGGGCACTGCTGAGCCTGCTGGTGGCTTCAATGAGGAAACGAGGTGCCCAAACTGATTTTGGCAGGAGAGAGCTAGGCCCATAAAGCAACTGGAGGAGGTGGTGGTGCCCTCATTAGCCTGGTGGCTAGCCCACTCCCCAGGGCCGCGGGAGAGGCAGGTTCAGTTCCTCCCTCGCTGGCACAGGTCCCCCATCTGTCAGCACAGAGTTCCACAAGTTAGCTGTGGGATATTCTGGTGTGAGGCCAGGGATTTCCCTGCCATGAATGTCCCTACATCCCCCCTATGGGGGTTTATCCCCCTGTGAATTTCCCCAACCCCCCCCCCCCAGTTTTGTGAACTATGGTGTCATACAGCCCACCTTCACCCTCATGGTCTCACCCCTCATCAGCCCTGACACCCCCCCCTGTAAATTCGAACACCCCCCTAATTTCAATTCCTGCAGAGGCTACTGTGTGAGGCTCTCTCTGCCTCTTCTTAGAGCTGCTCCACTATGGACAAATAATGGGAGCAGTTGGGCACCCCACCCAGTGTGCTACAGCAGCGTCTCCCACTCTTCTCTCTCTGGCCCAGGGACTGTTCCACTGTGTATCAACACCGAGGTCCTCATCAGGGACCCGAGCCAGCTCAGAGGTGAGAGCACTCTCCAGTGGACTGTTCTAATCCTTTCTCCCTTACAGGTGGGGACACTGAAGGTGGGACTCCCACATCCAGGTGCATGGGCTAACCCTGGGAGACAGGCACCAGCACCTCAAGCTGGCAGGTGGCCTCTGAGCACACTTGCAAGCCACTTAAGCAGAGGAATGTGTCTTTCTCCTCAGGTCTGAATGGCTCTGAGGCTTAGGAGGAAGATAGATGTCCATTGCCTAGGGGAGTTAGGCACCCAAATACCTGTGCAGGTTGGGGCCTTTGGTTGTCTGTGTCCCAGTGTCTCATCTGTAAAATAAGGATAGTGGCATTATGCTTATTAAGCCCAGAGGCAGTGAGGTGCTCAGATACTCCAGTGATAGGCCCAGAGAGGTGCCTAAGGCCAGTCCTGCTGTCAGCATGGAGTTCTGTCTATCCTGACTGGTCCTAAGACAGCAGCTTCAGAAGGGTGTGATTTTCCACCCAAAACACACAGAAGCATTAGAAATGGGCCAAAACCAAAGGGCCAGATCGGATCCTTCCCAGAGGTGGGAGCTGAATTAAAACTCCTTGACTACCCCCATTGCCAAAAGTAGACTGAACCAAAGCCCTGGATCATGAATTTTGGCAGTGAAATTTGAATAGTGATCTGGACACCGCTTCTCAGAATCGCCGGGGAACGTATGGCTATTTTAACTAGCAACCTGGCTGAAGGGGGCAACTCTTTCCAGCTTTCTCACTCATGACAAAAGGTGACCAGTCGTCGCCTGTGAGTCACGGCCAGGAGAACATGGTGATACTCTTCCGTTTTATTCTGAAGCAGCCCAAAGCGAATGTGCACTAAAGCAAGAGCAAAGGAAATTGACATTTCTAGACATGCCTTTATGCGCTGAGACAGAAGAGACTATTGAAGAGAATGGAGAGACTCCCCCTGCACCCAGCACAACTTAACCATGGCAGAAGACATGAGCCAGTTCTCCTTGGTATTTCTAGCAAAAATGTGACATGCGTTGCTTTCCCCCTCTAAGTAATTTCTCTTCTGATCCTGTGTATAATGATGCTGTTTAAGGCAGGTCCGGTCTCTTATTTCAGAGCAGTCTCTTGAGTTCTGCCTTACGGTCACCCGGGAAAGAGCAGCTGGCTGGAGAGGCAGCAATTCCCAATCCCAAGTGGAGTACTTGATTGCTTACCGGTGTGGGAATGCTGAATGCATGAGAATAGGAGATGGTTTAATGAGCATTGCAAGGAGCCAGGTGGGACAGGAACCTTTGCTTAACACTTTGGCTTTCTCCCTCTGCACTTGAGGTTGGAGTAGAAGCGGTATGCCTTGTTGTAGCTCCTTAAATTTCGCTTCATGCACAATGCAGCGGCCTTGTCACACTTACAGATGCTCCTTTTACACCAGCTGCCTGGGCCTGGGAAGAAGCACGAACTCCATGAGAATCAGCGTATGTCTACACTTGCAGCCTATTTTGGAATAGGGCTGCAAATGTAGGCATTCAGAATTGCAAATCTAGCCCAGGATTTAAATATCCCGGGCTTGATTTGCATCTTCCCGGCCGAGTGCCATTTTTGAAATTTACAAGGCTGGAATAATGGCCCGCGTCTACACGCGGCAGTGAAATGGGCGTTCAAAATAAAACTCTATTTCGAACTACCTGTTATTCCTCCTGCAATGAGGTTTAAAGTGTAGACATACCCTCAGCGCTGGGTGTTTGTTCACAGCCAGCATTTCCAAAAGCATTCAGCGTTGAGCTAATTCCCATCCCGACCAAGGGCAAAGCTCCCATTGACTTCAGTGGGCAGAGCTATAGACCAATCCTGAGTGCTTTTGAAAATCCCATGTCCACTCCACCCATTTTTCTCGATAAGTTTTAGAGGTTCATTGTTCTAGAGGAGCTGATGAGTTATTTCTTCAAAACATATTCCACCTCAGGGGGCAGCTCACAAACTATTTGCTATAACTTTTGGTGCCTCTATTCACTGGCCCTAATTCTCCATTCTCACTGGCCATCAGAGTCATATAATCATAGAACATTAGAATCAGAAGGTACCTCAAGAGGTCATCAAGTCCAGTCCCCCGCCCTCATGGCAGGACCACACATCATCTAGATCATCCCTCATAGGTGTCTATCTAACGTGCCCTTAAATATCTCGAGTCTCAGAGATTCCACAACCTCCCTAGGCAATTTATTCCAGTGTTTAACCACCCTGACAGGAAGTTTTTCCTAATGTTCAACTTAAACCTCTCTGGCTGCAATTTAAGCTCATTGCTTTTTATTCTGCCATCAGGGGCCAACAAGAACAATTTTTCTCCCTCCTCCTTGTAATATCCCTTTTAGATAGTTGAAAACAGCTATCATGTCTCCTCTAAGTCTTCTCTTTTCTAAACTAAACAAGCCCAATTCTTTTAGTCTTCCCTCATAGCTCATGTTTTCTAGACCTTTAATCATTTTTGTTGCTCTTCTCTGGATCTTCTCCAATTTCTCCACATTTTTCTTGAAATACAGTGCCCAGAACTGGACACACTACTCCAACTGAGGCCTAATCAGCACAGAGTAGAGCAGAAGAAAGACTTCTTGGCTGTGTCTACAGTGGCCACTTATTCTGGAAAATCAGCTGTTTTTCCGGAATAGCTTGCCAGCTGTCTACACTGGCCCCTTGAATTTCCAGAAAAGCACTGAGGATCTAATGTAAAATCATCAGTGCTTTTCCGGAAAAACTATGCTGTTCCCGTTCGGGCAAAAGTCCTTTTCCGGAAAACTGTTCTGGAAAAGGGCCAGTGTAGACAGCACAGATTTCTTTTCCGCAAAAAAGCCCCGATCGCGAAAATGACGATCGGGGCTTTTTTGCGGAAAAGCGCGTCTACATGGGCACGGACGCTTTTCCGGAAAACGTGCTTTTCCGGAAAAGCATCCTGCCAATGTAGACGTGCTTTTTCCGGAAATACTTATAACGGAAAACTGTTCTGTTTTAAGCATTTCCGGAAAAGGGTGCCAGTGTAGACGTAGCCTCTGAGAACAGTTATTCTCCCAATTATGCACCCATCTTACATTTAGGTTGTATTTCCCTAGTTTATTGAGAAAAAGGTCATCCAAGACCATGTCAAATGCCTTACTAAAGTCTAGGTATACAACGTCCACCTGATGTTGTTTCTGCTCCCTGACTGCCAGCAGTGCATGCTCTCATGAATAACTGTGACTAACTGTGCAGACATCCAAGCTAACAGGACTTTGCATTTGTCCTTGATGAAATCACGTCAGCACAGGCAGGTGTTTGCAGAATGCAGAGAAAAGAGGTTGCCAATACTATCAGGATGAATTTGTGTCTCTTTCTTTCTCCCTGCTGGTCTGAAATCCCAGTGTAGTTGAGGCCTATCGCTTCCATTTTATTTTCCTTCTCTTCCTTGGGCTGTTTGGAGTCAGACTGTGTCCGAGGCTCAGCGGGGGGAAGCTGGCCAAGTGCTACTGAACTCAAGGCTCTGCAGCTGAGTTGCGGACCCCACAGATGTTTTGCAGAAGTGGCCCAGCAAAGCAGTGAGCTGATTTGGGATCAGAGACAAAGGAAGGGCCTATCTTTCTAGAGCAGCAGTTTTTAAACCTTTTTCCTTAGGCCCCAGTTGAAGAAAATTGTTGATGACATGACCCAACAGAATTTGACCAGAGTGTGGCTGAGAATGAGAGCTTTGGGGTGCATGAGGGGGCTCCGGCTGGGGGGGGGGGGGGGGGGGGTGGGGGAGGA